AAATCTCTCTACCTCTTCATCCTCTGCAACAGGTGTTGCTGCATAAACTGCAGTTATTTTGCTGGTGGTATTTTTTTTTTGATACTTAACCTAAGCACTGCAATGAGATGACCAAATGTCCCATGAAATAATGTTTCTTAATTGCTTTTGGGAGCACTCTAAAACCAACTCTGCCAACAACATTATTTGTTTCTCCAAGAGAAGCCCGTGAGTCACCCCTCCATTTAGCTGCAGATTTTTGCTTTCTTCTGGTTGCATTTATAGGATGAATGTCAAGATTGATGTGATTCCATTCCCATAGAGTAGAAGATTCACTCATTGGTTATTGGACAAATATCTCACATTTAGAGCACCAACAACTAAATTAAAGTGCATCAGTACCTTGATCTCCTTTTCTGTCACTTTGCTACCATGACTGCAGACAGAGAAGGGACTGCCCAGGACTGAGGGCTATTTTGTATTTTTCTTTATTTCGAGGGTTGCTGTGGCCAAAGCATTCATCAATGAGTGGTCAGCCTACTGGTGATAAACCTTTTCATATGTAGTCAAACTGCTCCTTAGAAAGCAGACTCAGTCTGTTGCTGGGGCCATACTTGGAGTCTTTCCTGCACGCTAGAACTGGCCAGAGCTTGTACGACACTGGAATAGCCTTCAAGAATGCAGGCTGTCAATGTGGAAATATGTTTTCGTATGATTGTACATGTATAGCCTATATCAGATTACATGCTGTCTTGGAGAGGAAGGAGCAGAGGGAGGGGGAGAAAATGTAGAACTCAAAATCTTGTAAAAGTGAACATTGAAAACTAAAAACAAATCAAAAATTAAAAAAGAATCCAGGCTGTCTCCACCGCACAAAGCAGCATTTAAGTAGGGCTTTCTGAAGTGTTTTCACTATAGCATCTGAGAAGGAGTAGCAGGCTGTTTTTGTGAATAAGATGGTTCAATGTGGATTGACCTTCTTGCTGTTCTTTGAACGTGGTGCTCTGTCTCCTGACTCTATGCTTTTTTACTGGTTGCCCCCCCATGCCTGGAATGCTTTCACTCCTCATGTCCACCTTTTGGATTCCCTGGCTTCTTTCGTTTCTCAGCTCAAACCCAGCCTTCTTCAGGAGGGCTTTCCTGGCTTTCTCTTAAACCTACTGGTCCCTTCCTTCTGAGATTATCTCCCACTTACACTGTATATATCTTGCAAGTTCCTAGTTGTTTACGTGTTGTTTCCCTCTTCATAATGTGTGTGCCATGAAGGCTGTGTTTTTGCCTTCTTTGTATCCCCAGCATTTAGCACAGTGACTGGCACAGAGCAAGGACCTAATATGTTTTTGTTGATTGATGGATTGAATAGTATTGCTGTTTAGTGGGTTTGCAACCTAAACCATGTTCATTAATATCTCTATGTCAGTCTTTAGTGGAGTCTCTGGTGGCATCCTGCCGTACTTTTCGGCCCTGTCTTATTCAATGTTTTTATTAGTGACTTAGAAGAAGACATAGTAGGCATGCCTATCAAAATTATAGATGGCATAAATCTGAGAGAGCTGGCTAATATGACAGCTGACAAAATCAAGATTAAAAGGGATATCAATAGGGTTGAAACCAAAAAAGATGAGATTTACTTCAATATATTAAAACAAGGTGTTTTTTTTTTCTTATCCTTGCTATGTCATGGGGCCCCTTTGGCTATCTGGTGAAGCCTATGGACCCCTTCTCAGAATAATGTTTTTAAAGGCATCATGTAAAATACTTATGAGTACAAACAGCACCAATTATATTGAAGTACAGTTACCAAAATACTGAGAGCAAGTTCATGAACCCCAGATTAAGAACTCATGCTTTCAAAAATCTGTGATAGTTCATTGTGTGGGTATTTTCTCTACTCCTTTCAGAGTCTTGGTAGGTAGTTCTTTGAGTTACTGTGGCCAAAAAAAAAGCCACCATTTGTTAGCCAACCTTCTGGTGATAAACCTCTCCAAATTTAGCTACATTGGTCCCTAGACAACACTACAGGTTTCATCACCAGGCCCTATACTTGAAGCTTAGCCTTCTTAGCATAGCCTTTGAGGACCTGGGGTTGCCTCCACATAATACTGAGGCAAAGAGTGGACTTTGGTGTAGGAAGGTTCAGTTTAACAAGGACAAATGCCAACTCTTGCCTTAAATGGTAAAATTCTTAAAAAGTAAATTGCCCATGTGTAAGACAACACTTCTTGTGATAAAGCTCTAAGTGTTTGAATTGGCTTCAACCTGAATATGAGCCAAGATTGAGATGCGGCAGGGCAAAAAGCAAAGACTCTTAGACTGTCGGCTGTAGCGCAGTGTCCAGATCAATGGCTCAGTGCCATTGTGGTCTGCAGGCATTAGAACACGTCTGGAATATCCGATATTAGATGCTGCATTCTAAGAGAAACGATGATGACGTGAAGTTTGGCCAAGAGGGTAAGGAGTCTGTAAACTACATCATAGGGGCAATAGTAAAAGAAAATGGAGCTGCTTAATGTGATAAGAATCATACTAAATGGAAAGCGATTGTGGAAGGAGGATTTGACTTATACAGTGTAGTGGCACAGAATTTTAGAGTTTGAGAGAAGCTCAGCCATCCCATAGCTGAAAAGGAATCTTTACAACATACCCTACAAGTAGGTTATTCAGTCTCTGCTTGAAGAGCCCCAGCAAAGGGAAATCCACGCCCTCCCCAGGCATCCCATTTCACTTATGCTTAGCTCTAGTTGTCAGGAAGATTTTCTTGAAATCGAGCCTCTTTCGATCTTCTGTCCATTGCTCCGTGTCTTTCCCTCTGGGGCCAAACAGAACAAGTCTACATGGAACTAGAATGAATGAATGGCTAGAAGAAACCCAGAGGCTGGATTTCATTCAACCTATGGAACTGATAGAATCACAGAAACTCTTGGATACCATCTAAGTGGTAGACAGGCTGTGGGCTGAACTAATCCTTGAAATACTGGAAAATAAGGAAATTCTTGCTAACAATTAAAACTGTCCCCAAATGGAATGAACTGCCATGCATGTTTGTTAGGTAGAAGTGTTCAAGCAGAGGCTACCTTATTATCTGTCAGCTTTGGGACAAGTCATTTAACTTCCATTTCCTCATCTGTGAAATGAGAGGTTAGGAAGGAAAGGAAACAAACACATTTATTAATATACCATTAACAAAGGTTCCATTTATTATGTCCACCAGGCACTGTGCTAAGCACTTCACAAATATCGTCTCATTTGATCCTCAAGATAACCCTGGCCTTAGAAGGTCTCTGGAGGTAGAAGCTGTTATTACCCCCATTTTACAGATGAGGAAACTGAGGCAGACAATGGTTAAGTGACATGCCAGGCTCATACAGCTAGTGAATTCTGAGGTTGGATTTGAACTCAGGGTTAAATTAATTACATCAGGAGTTCTTAACCTAGGATCCATGGCTGTATTTCAGAGAGTCCAAGAACTTGGATAGGAAAAAAAATTAAATATTTTCACTAACCTGTTACTAAAATTTAGCATCTCCTTTAATTATGAATTTTTAAAAATTAATGTCAGGGTCCACGACACAAAAAAGTTAAGAACCCCTGGCCTAGAAGATCTATAAGACTTCACACAGCTCTGAAATTCCCTGTTCTTCTATTTCAGAAGGGTGGGAGGATGGACGAGATGACCTTTGAGGTTCCTTCCAATGCTAAGCTTCTCAATCATAGATGACAGAACGTTGGAGCAAGTAAGGGTTTTTGGGATTATCAAGTACAACCCTTTCACTTGTGGCCCATAAGAAAACTGAGCTAAAAAGAACAAGTAACGTACTAAACTTTCCAGTCTCAAGACCCCCTCATACTCTTACAAATTATTGGGGACCCCCAAAGAGTTTTTGTTTGCATCGGTTATATCTATTGATTATATCTACTGATAGTGGTAATGGAAGGTCATTGCAAATGGGGATTATTTCGTTCTTTGTACTTGCATCCCAAACACCTTGCACAGTGATTGGCATATAGTAAGTGCATATTAAAGCTTGTTGGTTGGTTGAAAGTTATATACTTTTAGTCTTAAGAAATTAAAGTGTCTTAGAATTATTATAAAAGTAGTTTTAACCTCATGGGCCTTCTGAAAGGCTCAGACCACACTTTGAGAACTGCTATTCAAGGGCATGGGCAGCTAGGTGGTACAGAAAAGCACGGGGCTTGGAATCAGGAGGACTCATCTTCATGAGTTCAAATCCAGCCTCAGACACTTAGCAACTTGTGACCCTGGGCAAGTCACTCAATCCTGTTTGCTTCAGTTCCTCATCTGTAAAATGAGCTGGAGAAGGAAATGGCAAACCACTTCTGTATCTTTGCCAAGAAAACTCCAAATGGGGTCATGAAGAGTTGGACATGACTGAAAAACAACTCAAAGGCATACAGAAAATTAGTGGCAGAGCCGGAACCCAAACCCAACTCAGTTAAGTACTCCTTTACCTGGATCCTATTTCATGTCTGATCCTACCTTTAACCCTTCAGGTTGAGGATTTTTTATATGTATCTATATATCTCTATATAGATATGTATATATGTGTATATGTATGTATATATGTGTGCATGTATATATCTGTGTGTGTATGTGTGTGTGTGTATATATATATATCTCTATATATATATATCTATATATATAATTTGTTTAGGATTTACCAAGTGCTAACTAAATATTAATTCACGTGTCATTACTAGCAATATGCTTATCAAAATGAAAATGCTGGGGGCAGCTAGGTGGCGCAGTGGATAGAACATCTGCCCTAAAGTCAGGAGGACCTGAGTTCAAGTCTGGGCAGAGACCAAACACTTGACACTTACTAGCTGTGTGACCCTGGGCAAATCACTTAACCCCAATTGCGTAAAAAAAAAAACAACAAAAAAACCCCCCCAAAAACCCACAAAAAACCAAAATGCCGCTGTACCAACTGCCTCCCTTCCACCAAAACCCAAATGACGTCACACGTATCGCAAATGAATCAAATCAGACCTGCACTTACGTTTCTCTCACTGAATTTATCCACCTCTCTCAGGAGCTTCTCCTGGCACTCAGAGTTGGTAGCCAACAGGTAGGTGACAAAGGAGAGGGTGTTGGTGATGGTTTCATATCCAGCAATTAGAAAGATGAAGGCTTGTCCCACTATTTCATCTGTAGTCAAGGCCTTCTGTGGCACATTGGATGTAGTTTGGTGAGTGGGAGGGTCTCTATCTTGAATGTTCTGTCTGACAATGTCAAAAAACTCTATACCAACAGAGGAAGAAGAACCACGGACATCTAGGAATATCTGGAGGAAATCTCTTCGTCTCTAGGAACCAAAAGGGAAAAGGATACACTTTGAACCAATCAACCAACATTTATTAAGCACCTATTACATGCCAGGCACCGTGATAGGTGGTGGGTGTTCAAGGGTAAAGAATGAAATATTCTTCACTTGCAATGAGGAGGAGACAAGTCCATATCAAAATATATATACTTAGATGTAAAATTAATAAATACAAATTGCTATAGAGTAGTTTGAGAGGAAGGGCATTAGAAGTTGAAGGATCAGGAAAGGCTTCATGCGGAAGATGGTGCCTGAGCTACCTCGAAAGGGAAGGGAGACTCAGTCCTTAAGGATTCTTATGGACAAAAAAAAAAGTGTAGGGGAACCCTGCCTTAAGGCAATAGAATAAATGAAGAGCCAAGCTTCCAGCTGTCACACCTTCTAAATTGCGCCCACGTTCTGCCACAGATGACCTATACTGCCTCTATTCCCAGGTTCCATCGGTTCCACTCGGCCAGCGTTTGGAGGTTAATAGGGCTGACTGGCCCCAGGCAAGAATGAGAAGGAATTTGTTTTCAGCTGTCCCGATGCCCTCTCCTGAACCTCCTTCTTCTCCTCTGGTGCCCTCGCTGCCTCAAGTCCCTGCTTGTCTCCCCTTATCAGTTATTTATTCTTAAACATGAGGAGGTGCCAGTCGATGAGTTAACTCCACTTAGGAATATTTGTAATTTAAATCTTATCTCCTTGTGGAATGAAGGGACCAAGTAGCTTGTTAAAGGAATTTCAGGTTTCCTTCACTATGCCTACTTATATGGTAAAGTCTGGTTGAGTCTAGCTTTTGCAAAGGTTACAGTCTCTCCCTTCCAGATAGCCTCCTAAAGGAAATCAAGCAAGAGGCTGTCCTAGCTTTGGCTGTTAGACATCCACTATTGGGGAGCTAGGATAGAGCACCGGCCCTGGAGACAGGGAGGCCTGAGTTCAAGTCTGGCCCCAGACATTTACTAGCTGTGGGACCCAGGGCAAAGGAAGAAGAAAGAGGAGGAGGTCATTTACTATTGTTGTTTCATTTTTGTTTTGTGTTTTTCCCAGATGCAGGCCAGAGACTTTCACGGGTCCTTCCCTCTGAGAATGATCCCTCTTTCTACCTTTTCTTTTGACCTCTTTTTTCTCCTCGTCTTCAAGTCTCTTCTCTCCTTTAACCTTTCCCTTCTCTGTTAGCAAGGCTGGACCCTCTTTCCCTGGTGTTCCCTTGCCCCTCTAACTGCTTTTCTCTTAGTCCTCTTCCCTCTGATTATTCTGTCCCCGGATCCCTAGATGCCAAGGAATCACTGCTCACTCTATCCTCTCCTCCCCTTCTTCTCTGCTCCCCCCTCTTACCTATTATGGTATTCTGCTGTTATGAGAAAAGCTTCCTTTCCTACCCCTAGGCCCCTGGGCTAAGCACAAATCTCTGCGGCCAACATTTTTGCTGCTTTGAGCTCTTTGTAACTACAATGCAAAGGCCAGTTCTTTGGGGGTAAGATTTGGGAAACAGAAATGCTGCTCCAAGACCTTTCAAGGTGGGGAGTTATCAAAGGAGGACTGTGGGGGTGAGGCGGGGGGTGGGAAGGGGATTTGACTTTAGTCCTGGTTTATGCAGAGGCAGAAGGGCAAGAATCTTCAGCTGTTGGAGAGTTGGATACAAGATGTGTGTGTACACATGGATGTCATGTGTGATGATATCCATGTGCATCGTTTCAGAGAAACTCTATCTCGATGCTATTTATAAATATTAAAACATTAACAAATTAAGAAGAAACGTCAGGGAACCTGGTTTGGGGGGATGGTAAAGGCAGGAGTATGCTGGAATCAGCTTAAATTGGGGAGTTGATTGTTAAATTTTCGGCATGAGTAAGTATGTACACCTTGGAAATCGGCAAACACAACAAATCAGGGACTGATTTATTGTTTTGTTGATTGTCTAGACTTTAGAAAATTATGGCAAAGATGTTAATAATACAGATTAAACTTAAAAGTGTGCTGAAAATATTGCCCCCCCCAAGAGCTGGTTGTTAAACAAACCAGCACTCCCCTAGTAAGGGGATGAGTAGTTATAGGAGAAACTTGGTGGTACAGTGGATAGAGTACCAGGCCTGGAGTCAGGAAGACTCATTTTCCTGAATTCAAATCTGGCTTCAGACACTTACTAGCTATGTGAACCTGGGCAAGTCAGTTAACCCAGTTTGCCTCAGTTTCCTCATCTGTAAAATTAGCTGGAGAAGAAAATGGCAAACCACTCCAATATCTTTACCAAAAAAACTCTGAAAGGGGTCACAGAGAGTCAGACATGACTGAAATGACTGAACAATAGCAAAGTTACAGGAGATGGATGGAGGCAGCTGCCCACGATGGGGCTCAAAGTGATTGTCCAGATTCTGACATAAAACAGAAGTGCTTATCTGAGATATAGTGAAGACAGGGTGTTTTTATTCACAGGCCTAGTTCTCAGTGTCTTTCACTGCTAACCCTGGGGTCTCATTGACTTTTTTTCTAGTTCTTATCTCTCCTTTTGCATGTCTATCCCCTTCTTGGTGTCTGTTTTCACTCTGTCCTCCCCCTGCCTATCTCTCACTCAGACTGTCTGTCCCTCTATCTATTTAATTTTTTTAGAGGTTTTCTGACATATCTTCCCAGATTCCCGCCTCTCTCCCTGCCTCCCTGCAGGTACACAACAACTGAGTGTCAGGGATGCCTGGGGTTACGACCTAGCTGGATATTCAGTATCTGCATTACTTTGTCCCTCTTTCCATCCTTTTCTGTCTCTTTCTCTTTGACTTCCTCTGTGTTCTCTAGGGCTATAAATCTTGTTAGGGCTGGTTCCAGCCATATGTGATAGCATCATTGTCTGTGTGCAAGGACAGAAAGAATGCTAGAATAATTGAGCTGGATGTGAAACTGTATAGGACAGATAGATGAAGGTCTCCAAGTAGAGAGAGTTCACAGCCTCCCTTTTTCATCCATTCTGGTGTTTGCTTTTTCTAAAATACAGACTTTTCCCCCTCATGTCCAGCTGAAATCTGTCCTGCTTCAATTGAGGCTCTCAGCCTCACATTTGGTTATCAGAAGTGAAGCAATCTGCCTACAAGTACCCAGACAGACGAACAGCCTCTGAAACATGGTGGCTGCTTTGTGAAACACGCTGTGAGGGTCATTCCTCATCTGAGTCACTGCAGAAGACAAGATAACTCATGAGATAACTGGGGAAACAGAAAATGAGGGTGGGATAGATAATTGGTGGTCAAATTCTGTTCTGGCCCTGCCCAATCTAAACGACTGAAGATATCAACCAAGTGAAGTCAGAAGAATTGGATTTGAATACTGACTTTGCCACCCCCTTAGTGACCCTGGGTACTTAACCTCTCTGGGCCTCATTTTCCTCATCTGCAAACTGATCCCTAGATGACCTCTAAGGTCTTTTCCATCTCTAAATCTATGACACTAGGATCTACCCTTTCGCCCATTTCCATCTCATCAGTAGAAGGTAAGCTTCCTGTGGGAAGGAACTATTTGTATTTTTTCACACCTAGCACAGGACTGTACACATTTTTGGTTTTGTCTGGGCTTGTGACTTCATTGGCCTTCCCAAGTGAGGAGAGCCCCTCCTCTAGGGCAGATTTGCAATAGTTTTGAAATAGCTCAGCTGTCTGTGGCATGGAGATGTTAACTGACTTATCCAGGCTCATACAGCCAGTCTGCATTAGAGGGAGCACCCGAACCTAGATTCCGAGGCTGGCTGTGTCCACTGCTCACTAAGCCACAATGCTTCTCCTACCTAGAAGCTACTTAATGAAGGCTTACTGGATGGAACTGAAGGATAGAACAGGGGTCCAACTCCTCTCCTTTCTAACTTCAAAGAGTGACTAAGGCCTGAACAGAGGAAATAACACTGACAGCCGGTGGATAAGTGCTCTCTTTCCTTTTGGAAAGGGACCTACCTCTTCTGCCTGAAGTCCTGGAAGGCAGCTTTAAATCCCGTCTGTGATTCCTAGACTCAGCCCTGGCCTTCTGCTGGCCCCAGGCCCTTAGGCATCTATTTTAAACTCATTGGCTCGGGGCTGCTGGGGACATTAAGCAGGAGCCAACTCACAGGACTTGTCTGGAGGCATCCCCGGGGATGGAGGTGGCCAAGGCCAGGCCTGATCCTTCCAGCAGTCAAAGCCGCTCTTGATGCCCCTCCCCCTCCCCCCTCAGCTCTTGCAAGTTCCTAAATGCCTCTTAGGTCTTTTTAGAAAAATGTTCTTAACCTGGGGTCCATGACCTTGTCGTTAAAATGTTTGGGTAACTGTATTTCAATATCACTGGCTTCCTTTGCAATCCTATGTATTTTATTTTATGCATTTAAAAACATTGCTCTGAAAAAGGGCCCACAGACTTCACCAGGCTGTTTCCATGTAACAAAAAATGTTAAGAACCCCTGACCTTGAAACTTACCCAAACTAATAACTATCGAGGTTGAGATTTTTGTCCTTCAACAGCAGGGGAGAGGCTGTCTGGGGACCTGTGGGACTGTTAGGGGAGAGTCAGGTCAACTGTTTCCACTTATTCTCCCAATACAAAGAAGATTATTTCTATGATTTCTGCCTCTGAATATGAAAGGTTCTTAGTTTAATCATGACATAAAAATAAACCCAAATATGCACACGAGTAAAAATAGGTGTCTTATTCATCCACTGGCCGTGACTCTGGGAAAAAAAAAATATTTACCTTTTAACATCTGTACTGCATCTAGGAAATTTTGAGCCAAGTTTTCTGACTATTTGAATGGCTCTACCTTGACATAAGTAGCAGTGCATTCTTGCTATTCTCAGATTAGCTGCTTGTTTGAAACCGTACTCCAGTTCATAAAGGGAGAAGCCCCAGGCAATCTCAATAATTGGGTCGGCAGCATCCCCTTCGCTCTAGGAAAGTATTCAATACAATGGCTGTAGAACTTGTAGACTGAGTCTCCAACCTGAGGGCTGAAGACTTGGACTGATAGAAACCCTCAGAGTTGGGAGAACAGCCTCCCTCTCAACCCCTCCTCCATCGGGAACATGAAAAAGAGAGAGTTTTCTTCCCTTCAAGTCTTTGCAAGGGATGTGGTTTCCATCTTTAGGGGAAACCTAGGGGAGGGAGGGAATTGGTGAGTCCTATTCTCTTGTATTTTCAAGGCCTTCTAAGTTCAACTCGGGGGGTCAAAGACATTCTGAGCACATATAAATAAAAACTCCCTATCTCCTAGTTCTTGGCACCTTTGCCCGACCCAATGCTACCCACCTGGAGCACAGGAGGATGAAGTTCGTCCCTCCAAGCTCCCCCACACATAGCAATTGACCTCCGATTTCTAACTTTTCAAGTCAATGCCCTAACTATTAAACCATACTTCCTCCCATTACTAATCCCCATGAGCCACCCAATCTTTAAGAAAGCTCTTTTCCAAGCTATATCCAGAGGAAGCGCAGTTGAACACAAAGACATTTAGAGCCTCTTGCCCTATTTAGTAAGTTGCCTTACTCTAATCAGGCCCTTAAAAAACAAGCAGGCATTTTGACATTAAGCTGTGGGAACAACCAGGATGAAATCATTTCCTTTACTATCCAAAAGTACTGAGGCATGAGGATGTCCTTCTGTACTCTTAGGCAATTCAAAGCAACAACTATTTACTGAACACCTACTATGTGCTGGAGCTGTAAAAGGAAATTAAAATCTCAGATGAAAATAACAATAGCTGACATTTATATTATGCTTTGCTTTTTTTTTTTTTTTAAACTGTGTCCTTTCCTCATAAGACTGATGGGGCTGCGGAAAGAAGTTGATCACCTAGAGTCTGTAGTTTATCAAAAAGATTATTCCCATTACCACGGATTTTTGAAGAGACATTTGTGGATAGAACACTAGTCTTAGACAAAAATGTGAGTTCAAATTCTGCCTTACCAGCTGTGTGACCGCGGTCAAGTAACTTAATCTCTCTGCCTCAGTTTCTTCATCTGCAAAATGGGGATAATATGAGCCCCTACCTTAGAGAATCGTCATGGGGATGAAATGGGATAACACACGTAAAGCACTCTGCAAACCTTAAAGTGCCATGCAAATGCCAGCTATTATCATTACTACATTCTCTACATTGAAAAATGGCAGCATTTTTTAAGCACCTACTATGTGCTAGGCACTGAACTAAGGGTGGGGCATATAAAAACAAGAAAACAAGACAATCACTTCTCCCAAAGAACTTACGTTCTAATAAGGGGAGGCAAAACATAAGGGGGAGCATAGAGGAGGAAGCAGGTCAGGCAGAAGTGGAAAGTGAGGCCTATTTGGAGAGTCAGCTCAAGGCCCAGCCCTTCTCAAGCTCTAGGCAGAGACTGGACAGGCGGTTGGTGTGCGGAAGGAACAGACCAGGTCAGACATATAATTGGTCAACAGCTGACTGAGTTTCAGTCAAGGTTCGCTTAGATTTCATATTGTGCTATGCAATCATATGCTACATCAGTTCCAGAGTTGTAACTAGAAATCCTGGCATATGAGACAGATTCATTGGAGTTGTGAGTAGGGGAAGACCATCTCCAGAGCACCTGGCCTCTGACTGCACAGCATAGGGGAAGGAGAAGGGAAACAGATCCCAGGACAGACGGTCCATTTATGGACACGGTTGTTGGGAGAGAAGGAGCAACCTGTCTCCTCTTCCTCCTCCCCCTCCCTTGGCAGACTGACATCCCCTTATCCTCTCCTCAAGCCTGCCTTTCCCCCGAGCTTCCACAGGGAGGTTGTGGCTCAAATTCTGTATCTGTAAAATGAGTATTGTAATGCTTGTGTTACCTACCTGCTAAAAGGCAGGGTATCACGCTGGATACAGAGCTGTTCTGGAAGCTGGGAAGATCTGAGTTCAAATGTGACTCATACTAGCTGCATGATGACCTCTGGGTGAGTCACGTAACCTGTTTGTATTCTAGGTAATTCTCTAGACTAATAAGTTGTACAGAAGGTGCCAACCTGCATTGGTAAAGGCAGTTTCCTCACCAGGGAGTTCCCCATACCCATGAAATCACTGGTTCATTTCCTATTTCCCTCATTCCATCACAGCATTGTCACCAGGATCAAAAGCAGTTTAATTTGGGGCAACTAGGTAGTACAATGGATAGAGCAGTGGCCCTGGAGGCAGGAGGACCTGAGTTCAAATCCAATCTCAGGCACCTAACACTCACTAGCTGTGTGACCCTGGGCAAATCATTTAACCCCATTGCCTAGCAAAAACAAAACAAAACAAAACAAAAAGCAGTTTAATTCAACAGGCACCAAGTGCCTACTATGTACAATTAGCGCCTTCTAGAAATCATTCGATGAGTAAGTGACTGGTTATCTCAGCCACATGTACTAAAATACTTTACCTGTTCTTTGGCTTGCTTTTCTCGGAGAGCAATCACATTCCTGATGACTTTATTAAAAAAGGCACACAGTTCATCTCTGTTCTTGTTGGGCAAAACCCGGACCAGTGGGATCATAATGGACGGAAATGCCACTGAAGAGAGAAAAGCAAAGGGAACCATGAAAAGGGGGGGGTGACAAATAGGGACTGGTTTTTGTCAAAGATACCTGGGAGTCAATGGTAGCCATGTACATCATCAACAGAAGGGTTAGCCAGACATTTCCTTACTGCTTAAATAAAGGCTACTGAACTTCACTAGGTAAATAAGAATTGCGTTTGTAAGCCAGAAGCTAACACATTATAGTAAGGTGGAAAGAGGCTCTGGGGTCAGATCTGGATTCAAATCCTGCCTCTGATTTTGACTACTTGTGTGATCTTGAGGCAAGTAGGTGGGGTAGTGGATAGAGTGATGGACTTGAGTCAGGATGACTTGAGTTTTAAATTCAGCCTCAGATACTAGTTATGTGACCTTGGACAAGTTACTTAAATACCGTCTGCCTCAGTTTCCTCATGTGTAAAATGGGGACAAAAATAGTACCTACCTCCCAGGGTTGTTTTGAGGATCAAAGGAGATAATATTATAAAGTGCTTAGAAAACCTTAAAGTGCTATATAAATACCAGCCATTATTTAACCTCCCTGGGCCTCAGTTTCCTTATCTGTAAAATGAGATGGTGAAACTAGATAGCTCTTGAGCTATGATTCTGTGATCCACTGTTAGGAAACTGGTCTAATTCATTCACTGTGGAATCACTTTCCACAAGGAACTGTGAATCCCCACTTCTGTTAAGGGAGAGGCTGCTGCTGTGGAGGAAGGGTGCCTTCTTTCACAACTGACTGGTCTCTTAGATCGGCCCAGGCTTCCTGTTCTATCCCCAAACTCAGCACTTCATGCTGTGTGCTCTAGAACAAGGTCTTTCCCACTAAGTCCAAATGGATCAAGACCACATCTCCCTGCAAAGAGCAGCAGAGAAAGAAATTAAGCTGAATTATTTAGACTCCACCCATGAGCCAGGAGAAGCTTCCCAGATGATGTTACCTTGGTCTGAGGGTGGGTACCATGTTGCCCTGCCTGAGTTCACAGTAGGCCTTGTGGAGTGTCTCAGAGACAGGCCACCTCCAATGCATGGTATAGTGGAAAGGATGCTGGTCTTAGAATCAGAAAATGTGTATTTGAGTCTCAGCTCTGGTAACCTTACTAACTGTATGAACTCAGACAAATCGCTTAACCTCTTGGAGGCTTGGTTTCATCATCTGTAAAATTGGGACAAGAAAACTTATACCACCTATGCAGCCTCAGTTTCCCCATTTGTAAAATTCTCCAAGTATTCTCCAGATTAGACTCATATTACCTCCCTCACAGGGCCATTGGGAAGAAAATGCTTTGTAAACCTGAAAATGCTTTGTAAATATGAGTTGTTCTTATTTTTGCAGCAGTGATAGAAGGGTGGCATGACTGGCCTTGGACCTTCTAGAATACTATGGTTAATGTGTTAGGTCCAAGTCAGGTTCCAAACGGGAGCCCAGGCTTGGTGACATCCTGAGGAGGAGGGCAGAGGCATGTCCCACTGCTTCCTCAGCACCTAAAACTTCAGTGTGGGGGCTGCTGCAGGTGGTGACAGCTAAACAGAAAAATGTGACCCAGAAAAATATGAATTGAACTAAGACATGTATGAAATTGATCAGAATCGACAGAACTGCCAGTAATGGAAAGAGAAATAAGATATTTTAATGCTACTGTGAAAGGGTAGGAGATTGAAAAGGGAGAGGAGGGGGAAGGAATGAGAAATAAATTTTAAAATAAAAATCAATGAAACTGTACCTAACCCTCCAAACAGTAGGGGATTCATTTGTCACTCTATTTGTCTTCTAATAAAAATGGCGACTTGGAAATCCATAGAAGTCCTGCTCTGATGCTTTGTGGTGGTATGAAGGTGACTCTGGGCTTTTTGAGGCTATGCTAGGGGAGACCAAGCTCTCAGAGGTCCCCCCCAAGATGTAAAGGCTTCAAGAATTGGATCATCAATGGATTTATATGCCTATTGTCCAAGAACCTAGCTAATTCAAAGAAGCTTGTCAACATGTAGGCCACATGACGATAGTTTGGTTTTTTTTTTTTTTGTCATCAGACCATATCTACTAAATCAAAGATGGGCTGAGTTCTGAATCAGTTGGAGGATCCCCACTGATGAAATTAGAGATTCTTGAAAGATTGAAGTAAGTCCGCAAGGTATAGTAGGAGAAAAAACAAAACAAAACAAAAAACAACCCAGAGACTTGGAGTCAGAAGATTGGGGTTCTGGTCTTAGTTTATCACTTACTAGCATTGTGACCTTGGGGATGTTATTTTTTAACAACTGGGGTCTTGTTTTCCTCATTTGTAAAAAGGGGATGGGATTTAGGCTAGTTGCATTTTAAGGGTTCTTCTAGGACTAGGAAGTGGATTTTGAAGGAAAATTTTTTGCAGAAAAAAGTGTGCTATGCCTTAGATCCAAAGAGGGGATAAGATGTGTCTTAATCAGTTCAAAAGCACACAGAAGGCAGAGGGCAAAATGTGTGTCCTGGGAACAATAAAAAGGTTTGCTTGGCTTGACTGAAGGGAGTCACGAGAAATGAGATCAGGGAGAAAAAGAAGGGGTCTGTCGTAAACTGGATTTCAGGGCAGTGAGGTGGTACAGTGAATAGAGCACCAGGCCTGGAGTCAGAAATTCCTGAGTTCAAATCTGACCTCAGACACTTACTAGCCGTGTGACCGTGGGCAAGTCTCTTAACCCTGTTGCCTCAGTTTCCCCATCTCTAAAGTGAGCTGGAGAAGGAAATGGCAAAGCACTCTGGTAGCTTTGCCAAGAAAACCCATGGGATCTCAAAGGGTTGAACATGACTGAAAAATGACTAAACAACTGCAGGGCCAATATTCACCATCCACAAAGACCTGCTTTGGAATATTTAAAGTAGTATAATACAGGGAGAGGGTAGTTAAGTAGAAAATCATGTCCATGAAGATAAATGAAAGACTTAACCCTTTATCTCTCATCTGAAAATAACTGAAAATCACTGAAACAACTGAACAACTTCTTGATTCCAGTTCCAGGGCTCTACCCACTGCTCCATGTAATCTGACCACTAATATGAGCTCATTGGGAACAATATAGCCAAAATTTTAGTGACCAGACAGGATTGAAGAAAGGCTAACCTCCTCAAAGATAGAGGGTGGACAGTAGAGCCACAGACTTCAGAGGTCATCCAACCTTATTTACTCTGTATATGTCTTATATGTATATAGTTATCAATGTGTTGTCTCCTCCATTACACTGTGAGCTGCTTGAGGACAGGAGCCATGCTTTTACCTTTCCTTGGATCTCCATCCCTCAGCACGGAGCTAGCACACAGTAAGCACTTAATAAATGTTTGCCAACTCACTGGACGGGCAACCCCTCTATGATATTCTTCAACAAGAGATCATCCGGCCTTGGCCAGAAGACTCTCTAAAAGCCATTTCCACTTCTGTCATTGGGAAGTTTGTCTTTGCATCAGAGTTAAATCTGCTGCTTTGGAATTTCCATCCGTGATGCCTAATTCTGTCCCTGGAGACAAGTCTAATCCCTCTTTTCAAAATAGGACGACAATTATCATGTCTCCCACTCAATCTTTTCTGAATTTAACATTCCTAGTCCTTTCAGCTGTCCCTCAGGTATTTGCCAGATTGAGTCACCTGCAATTTGTGTACTTTTCCAAGAGATGTAGGAGGACTCCTAGAAGCCATCCACCCTGAAAAGTGCCCTGTGGTTAAGCAGTATGGTATCCTTTCCATGCGACTCTATGGAGCTCATCTTACCCTCTTCAGAAATTATACTTACAGATTAAAATCATAACAAATTTAGGAATGGAGAATTGAAAGAAACGTCTGCAGTGCTTCACGAAAGGATTGTCCGGGGTCTTCTGAGAATCCACTTGGAATCCAAAGGCCACACTGGCAACCACGTCAAGAGTGTAACAGCCATAGCACCTATAGTAAAACAGCCAGAGTGCCCATAATGCATAAGGAAAATGGGACCTTTGCAGATTCAGCACCAAGCAACTTCCAACCTCCATGGTCTGCAGAGTGGGTGTTAATGCTGCATAAGCCCCTGGACTAAGAGGGAAAGCTGCCAAACTCACATAACCTTTCCCCTTCACAATGACTTTAACACTTGTAAGAGCTAAGGGAAAAAGCAGCAATAAGAGACATCTCTTTGCACTGGAGCACACTCCGGAAAAAGCCCCCCAAACATATGGATAATATTATGGAAAACATACTGTGGTCTAGAAATAAATAGAAGGGAAGGCTTCCCTTTTCAGAGAGTCCTGCAGAAAGTATCAGTACTTCGGTTCTGACTGGATTCTACCACTCAATTGACCATTTAAAAAAAATTTCCTCCAGCCATCTCAATTAATGAGTTCTGCATAAGCAATCAGGAGAATCTGGTCTGGTGGTAAAATGTCTGAAAACACCTGTGCTTGCTTTATGCCTTTCTTGATGAAAAGGGTTGATTCAATGCTCCCATGTAGGTGCACACTTTGTGTTTTCTCCGTCAGATATTTAGAGTAAAATCACACTTCATTTATATGACATCCTCTTGGGGAAATGAGGTGTTCCACATAAGCAGACTTTCCGGACAACTGAAACTTTAAGGGGCAATCATTTTGGTGCTGCAACTTTTTCATCTGAACCATTTTTGACCAAGTCTTTCTAAAATATGTCACCATTTTAGCTCTAGTAAACAGAACATAGAGAATGTAATTTACTTTTTGTAATTTACCTTACTTCAGCTCAATCAATCAGCAAGCATTTTATTAAGACGTTGCCAGGTGCCAAACACATTGCTAACCACTGGAGGTACAGAAAAAGGCCAAAAAAGTCCCTGCCCTCCAAGCCTTACACTCTAATGGGGAAAAAATGTACATAAATAGGTATGTAGAAGATACCTAACATTTATATAGCGCTTTAAGATTTGCAAAGCACTTTGTAAGTAGTATCTCATTTTGGATGATCACCTGGGAGGAGAAGATTTACCTGTTGGGGGAACTGGAAAAAGTGGCATTTAAGCTGAGTCTTGAACATTAGGTGACTCCCAGTGCTGAGATTTTATGCTTTAAAAACAATTTATTCCGGGGCTCATTGTGAACATTATTTATTATTTGAGGCCGTAATCATACTGCAATGCCGACAGGGACTACTGAAGCCTGAGGTGTCAAGCTGCCTGCAACACGCCCGAAGGTGGCTGGACCTGATTAAAGTGTACTTGGAAATATTTAACGAAATTAATAAGAATACAATAGAATGTAGATAATGGATATATGTGGTTTTCCATATTGATATGGACCCTGCACGGATCCGTCTGTGCCATTTTTGTGGTCCTCATTTCTAGTTGAGTTTGACACCACTGTTGAGTGCCCAGGTGTTTATACCCTTACAGTCAATGGCCCCTGACAGCCGGACTCTGATTATTCTGTCCCTTTCTGTAAAAAAGCTTCAGGGTTTAGACAGACAGAAATATAGACTATGGATACTTTCATCTCTTCCCTCCCTGGCATTTGTCACTTCTCAGCGGCTGTACTTCTAATCCACTCTACACTGAAATTTAGGGTTGCCAGGGGAAACCAGAAAGTTAAGGTTGTTAAATCACTAACTTTAATTGGATGGCCTAAGGGTAACTCTACAAATCTCCTGTGGAGTAAATCGTAGAGGGTTTGTGATGGCTGTTACTCTACACTTTGAGGCTTTCTTCACTTTCTTCTGGGTTCCAGACTGTTCTAGACAGTTGAAGGGGCTCAGAATCCCAATACCTGCCTTCCTGCCTAAGTGGGCCGCCATGTTCCGGTTCCCTTCCAGCCCCCACTTTGTTTAGACGAGCTCTGCTTTCTAGGTTGGCTGACTGTTTCCTCATAGGCCAGCCTCTCCATCCATTTGGTCATCTATCATGGCTCTTTTTGGACTTCAATACTTTCCTGGTCATGAGGTAATTGTCCAGCAATTATGCACAGTTACAGGAAGTGGCAATTCATTTGGAGAAATGCTATTTCTCATCCCCCATAGGCTGACCTTACCTCTGGATATCAAAAGCTTCCTCCGACTCTGCATAAGGCTTCAAGTGAGTCAATAGAAGATCACAGGCTTGGCTGATTAAGGGAATCACCTGGAAAGGAGGAAAATCAAGTATAATTAAGCACTCTGTACAGTGAATGGACCTCAATTAGCTAGGGCTGTAGTGCTTCCTACGTTGGCTATTATTTTTAAGTATGTAATTGCTGAGCAAAATTCTTTTAGTAAAGGCTGAATACAACACCTCCTTGGGATAAAGTTTTTTCTTCTTTCTTCTTTCCATTTCCTCCTTTCTTCTTCTCTTTTCCCTTTTCTTTTTGATCCCTCTGTCTCTCTTCTCTCTTTTTTTCTTTTTCTTTTTGTAAATACAAGTCATGTTTTATTGGGAAAACAGCACTAACTTTTTTTTAACATTCATATTAAACCTATTTTCATATTAGTCATGTTGTAAAGAAGAATTAGAACCAATGGGAGAATAGATAAGAAAGAAGAAACCAAAAAAAAAAAAAGAGAAAGAGAGAAAGAAAGCAAATAACATCCTTTGATCTGCATTGACTCCATAGCTCTTTTTCTGCATGTGGACAGCATTTTCCATCATGATTCTTTTGGAGTTGTCTTATATCCTTGTATTGTTAAGAAGAGATAAGTCTATCAAAGGTAGTCATCACCCAATGTGGCTGTTACTGTGTACAATCTCCTGGTTCTGCTCACTTCACTCAGCATCAGATCATATAAGTCTTCCCAGGTTTTTCTGAAGTCCATCTGCTCATCATTTCTTATAGCACAACAGTATTCCATTACATTTGTATACCACAACTTGTTCAGCTATTCCCCAGCTGATGGGCATCCCCTCAATTTCCAATTCTTTGCCACCACAAAAAGAGCTGCTATAAATATTTTTGTATGTGTGGGTCCTTTTCCCATTTGTATGATCTCTTTGGGATCCAGACCTAGAAATGGTATTGCTGGGTCAAAGGGTATGCACAATTTTATAGCCCTTTGGGCATAGTTCCAAATTGCTCTCCAGAATGGTTGGATCAGTTCACAACTCCACCAATGATGCATTAGTGTTCCAATCCACATTTTTTGGATGTTTTCCCACATCTTCTCCAGCATTTATCATTTTCCTGCTTTGTCATATTAGCCAATCTGATGGGTGTGATGTGGTATCTTCGAGTTGCTTTGATTTGAATTTCTCAAATCAATAGTGATTTAGAACATTTTTTCATATGACTATAGCTTTAACTTCTTCATCTGAAAACTGCCTGTTCATATCCTTTGACTCTTCTCTCTTTTCTTCTGGGCTCTCTAAGGCCAAGACAGTGGAGTGCAAGCTGTGACAGATTCTACCAAGTCAGAAAGGATTCAGGGATGGTGTTTTTCCATAATGGACACGAGATCCTAGGACCAACTTAGCTAAGTGCAAAGAAACCCACTAACAAAAAGTTGGGCACCAGGTGAGGATTTTTTTTTCTGGTCACAGTAACTCATGAAACCCTGTGAAACCCACAAGGTAGTAGCTGGTTGTAGTGGTGCACACCTATAATCCTAGCACCCAGAGAAGTTGAGGTTGGTGGATTTCTTGAGCTCTGGAGTTCTGAGCTGTGGTAAGCTATGCCAATCATGTGTCCACATTAAGTTTGGCATCAATATGTTGAACTCCTGGGAGCAGAGGGCCACTAGGTTGCGTGAGAAGGGGTAAACTGGCCCAGGTCAGTTTGATGAGAAGAAGGTCAAAGCCCCAGGGTTAAACTGTAGGAGAATCAGTCCATGAGTTGTGGCCCCTGAACTTCCAACCTGGGCAAGATGGGGGAGATCCAGTCATTAAAAAGTAAAATAAAAACAAAAACATGGGGTGACTATGATCTGCCTTGGTGGAGGGGCCACTCACACCCATGACTCTTTAAAGTATGTAACAATTTCAATAAACATTTATTAAGTGCCAAATATATGTAAGCCACTGTGTTTAGTGTGGGAGATACAAAACAAAGACAAAAATAAACAGTTCCTGCCTTCAAAGAGGTTCTATAATAATAGTTCCATATAATGATAATAAGTGATAACATAAACAATAACAAGTAATTAAATTATGCATAATTATAGTAGCAATAGTAACATAATAGTAACAACAACAAATGATGATGATGATACCAATGATGATTTCAACAACTTCCATACAATTGGGTTATTTTCTATCTGAAACACATGGGAAAATATGAGAATCAGGTAAGTGATGATGATGATGATGATGATGCTAATAGAGTAGTAGCAGGATAGTGACTTATTCCAGGGTGGTTTCTATTTGCACTCCATTAAACAAGATCAGAAGAATGATTTTTCTGAAATAATAACAGCTTGCATTTATATAGTATCTTAAGGTTTGTAAAGCACTTTACATTAGTCTCATTCTCATTCTATGTACATAGATAGTATATACATAGTATAGTACACATACAGTAAATACAAAATAAATATATGGCAATACAGAAATAATCTCCAGAGACATAGAACACAGAGGATTGGGGTGAGGAGAGAATTGGAAATGAAGGCAATGACCTCTAGGCTGTGTTTTGAAGGAAACTGGAGATTTTAGGAAGCAGAGTGAGGAGGGAGGGCATCCAGATATGGAGAGCACCTCTGACTAGGCACAGAGATAGGAGATGGGATGTCACGTACCGGGAAAAGCAAGGAGGGCCATTTGACTAGAACAGAGCCTGTACAAGAAGGAACGATAGGGGGCAGCGACGTGGCACAGTGGATAGAGCACTGGCCCTGAAGTCAGGAGGACCTGAGTTCAAATCCAGCCGCAGACCAAACACTTAACACTTACCTGTGTGACCCTGTGCAAGTCACTTAACCCCAATTGTCTAAAAGTAAAAAAAAGAAAAAAAAAAGGAGCAATAGGAGATAAGACTGGAAAGATAAGTGGGAACCATAATGTAAAGATCTTTCAATTCTAGGCTGAGGATTTTTTATTTTATCCTAGAGGAAATAGGGAGCTACTAAAGATTTTTGAGTAGGGGATTATCATGTTAGGTCTGTATTTTAGGAGTATTCATTTGGTAGTTGTATAGAGGATGGATTGGTAAGGAGAAGGCCTGGAGTCAGGAGGTTTAATTCAATTTAGAAAGCATTGATTAAGTGCCTGCTATGTAGCCAACAAATTACATAAGATGAACTACAAAAATAAACGATAATAAACTTAAAAATGTAGTCAATAAACATTTGTTAAGTGCATACTATGTGCAGGGGACACTATGGGGGGAGGGGGAAACTAGATGATGTAGTAGATGGAGTACCAGGCCTAGAGTCAAGAGGACCAGAGTTCAAATCCTGCCTCAGACACTTACTGGCTGTGTAACCCTGGGCAAGTCACTTAACCCTGTTTGCCTCAGTTTCCTCATCTGTAAAATGAGCTGGAGAAGGAAATGACAAACCACTCTAGTGTCTTTGCCAAGAAAACCCCAAAATGAGGTCATGAAGAATCCGTCACAACTGAAAAATGACTGAACAACAACAACATGCACTAGGCACTCTGCTCAGCATTTATTAAGAACTTGCCATGTGCCAAGCACAGTGCTAAGCACTGAAGGTACAGAAAAAGGCCAAAAAATGTCCTCGCCCTTAAGACACTTACAATCCAATGGAGGAAGACAAAACACAAAAGAAAGCTGAAAAACTGCTACGTGCTGGGGTTAGAGAGACAAAAATGAACAATTCCTGCCCTCGAGAAGCTTCCATTCTATAAGGGTAAAACAACATGTATCATATAAGTAAATGCAAAATATATACCAAGGAGATGCAAAATAATTTGTTCTGGGGTGGGGTGGGGAGAATCAGCAAATGAGGGGAATTAGAAATCAGGTAAGAGACAACCTTTAGAGTCTATGAGACAGAGGTGAAGAAGGAATACATTCCAGACACAGAGGATGAAATACTGTGTATGAGGAACAGTGTGGCTGGAACATAGAGTTAGGAAGAGAAATCACGTGACCCAAGCCTGGGATGGTAGATAGTAGCCTGGAGCAGCACTTCTTAAACTGTGGGTCCACACCCCACAGCCACGTAACTGAATGTAGGGGTTGCGAAAAATTTGGCAACAGTAAAGGTTTCTGAACGCGCAATGACCAAAAATTAATTCAAAATCAAATGCATAATGAGCCTGAGGTGTTTCTGGCAGGGTTTGCCCGTGTTGCATGGCACAGCTTCACTGAAGCCTTGGTTCTGAATACACAATATGCACGCTGAGCATTGCGCATGTCGTCATCCCATAGCAACGCCCACAAACCTGCCAGAAACACCTCTACTCAGCTTCAAGACTATTGTATGTTACTGTACGTACAAAATCATTAAAAGGATTTTGGCTTGGGATTAGGACAGAATTTCCAACAATTTCTGAAATGGCCCTAAATATACTTCTACCATTTTGTACTATGTATTTATGCAGTGTTCTCAGCACTGATGATTATAAAATCAAAACATCAATGAACTCTGAAAAATGTTGAAGATGCTCTACCTCCTACGGTATCAAATATTCCGCCAAGATTTAATTCTTTATGTAAAAATAAACACATTCATCTCATTAGTATGTGAATTTGTTTTTGTCTTTAATAAATGATAAAATTATATGTATACCAAAGAGTTGTTTTAAAATAAATTTCTTTATGATTTATTATTGGCAAATGTTTGTTTTGTATACCTATTTTATGTACCTATATACCCAGGGTCGTGTAAAAGTATATAGGATGAAAAGGGGTCGTGAGTGAAAAACGTTTAAGACACCCTGGCTACAGCCCCATCATGAAGAGCTGTAAATGTCATACATTAGAGTCCTAGTGAGAGGTGATGAGGGCCTGGGGAGAGTCTTTGTGAGTGGAGGGAAGGAGATGGACGTACGGGATACTGGGGCAGCTAGATGACTTTAGTAGATAGATCCCTAGACTTGGAGTCAGGAGTCTGAGTTTAAACCTTGCCCAGACACTGAATATTACTAACTGTCATAAAGACAGCTAGGTGGCACAGGCTCTGGGTCTGGAGTTAGGAAATCATAAGTTCAAATCTGGACTCAGATACTTACTAAATTTGTCTCAGTTT